GTGAAGGCCAGCCAACAAACAAAGATGCTGCAATTATCCTAATCGAAAAGCATTGAAGACAAACTTGCCAATAGCCGTAGCAATAATTATATAGAGGAAGATGCACACTAATGTAGGTAGCACTTTGTGTGCCAGTGTGTTTGGATTAGTAGGTAGATCACTATCGGCATTTTAAAAAGACGGAGGTAGAATGGAATCTTTCAATATGGAGGGATGGGTTTTTTTTGGAATGAAAGGACACCAATGGCTTTTAAAAAAATATCTGTGTGCACAAGAAAATTGAATTAGAGGCTGTCAAAACCATGCGAAAGCACCAAGCGGCACTGTAACCGCCTAACCTTGGGCTACTTTAGACAAGCACAAGCCTGAAGAAAGCCATTTCCAGAAAAGGCACAACAGCAACAATGACAAATTGAGGATTAGAGTATAGTTTAGTAGTATAAAAGTCTAATCTGACATGGTATAGATGTAAAATATTTTAAACCAACATGTCCATTTTCAATATCCTAAAACACGTACTTCTGAACCAGATGTACGACAAAAATGACATTTTCAACATGGAACAAATGTGCCAGCCCGTGACTAGTGAAAATATGTGTGGAATTGACGACCATTAAAATACAATGGTCAATGGTCACACGGTCACATGTGCAGTATTTTTTTCTTCAATAATGACATTACTCCAAGCCCACAGTGGTGGTATGAATTTAACTGGGGAAAAAAAAGACTCTTATAAATAATGTGACAGGTTAATGTAGAGGAACTTTCTTTCCGGAATCTGCCTTTTTTTTTGGGCAATCTGACCTGTTCCCAGTGTATGACGACTTTTATACTGGCTGCAACTATGCAGGTGTCTCGAAGAAAGGGCTTAACGTTTTTGAATAGTGGTAAGAGAAGCTGATGATGGGCTGTGTTGAACACCGCCATCCTTACTAATGTGTTTCTCTTTTCGGCTGCTGGAGCTTGGCCAGTTGCCACCCTGGTGACAATGTGTGGGTGTGTGGTTGCGGCATGTGTGTCAGTCGGTGTGTGTGTGTACCTGGAAGCCAAACTTGAAACACGCCGCCACGCTCGGAGATAAGTGTGCTGTAATTCTTTTTCTTTAATGGGGTTCAAGTAGGTTACTTCCTGTGTCGCTCCATTGCTGTTAGCATGATATGAGTAGCTTGTTGTGAACAAAGGACTTTGATTTGGCTTTTCGCTGACTCCTGCCATGGGGTAGCATACCGCCAACTAAAGGCTCTATGGCTGCGACGGTTTGGAATCTTAAACAAATTACTCTCAATGTAATTGATCTCAAAGTTAGTTTTCAAATAAAATATGAAACAAAACCTTTCAAAACTGTGCCATGAATTCCACGCTAGACGCTTCCACGGATTACGGAGGGATGCAAAGTACTTCTTTAAATGAACAGTGCGAGAGACGAGGCACAGACTGCTTCTTGGCTGACACTTTCTATTAGCTTCATGTGAGTATGTGGAGAGCTTGGACAGGTCTGATTCAAGAGCCCATCGTGTGACAGAGTGTCACTTTGAAGAGGGTGACTGTGTGTGCGTGCATCTGTGTGTGTGAGATGGAAAACAATCACAGTGGGCAACAAAGCACGTAGGCACAGCCAGAGTTCACGTTGACCTGAAACACATTCTCTCCTCCTGCTCGTGTGCGTGTGTGTGAGTGTGAGTTGTGCAAACACGCAGAGTTTGTGAGGCTGAACATGTTGTGCAAGGCCTCAGCAACAGACAAAGTTTGATCCAAACAGCAGCATGATTGTGTTCTCTTATTGTCTTATCGGCGAGTGAGAGTAAATCTGGTCATTCATCTGCATCGATGTATCTATTGTCAGATCAGTTCTACACTGGCAGCAAATCATAAAACACACTACAAGGTCATTTAAAAAAAAAAAAAAACCTCAACAACTACAGTACATTAATTCGAGCGCTATTGATGTGAAACGATGAAAAACATTAGCTATGGCCAGCAGACGGGAGAATTGGGTCTCTTTTGAATGAAATCACCGTGTCTCAAAGGAACACAGAAAACCATGAACATGGTTGATGTTAAAAGCACATTGAGATTGATTAAAGTGTTTAGAATGTTAAATCCATTAACAACAGTGTCACAAAAGAGAAGAAAGATGACAGAGATGATAAAAATTTAGAAATCAAAACACTGACATATCCTAGGTACACAAACGCACATGCACACACTACTCAATACTACTACTCCTACTACTAAATGTGCAAATGTTTTTTTAAAGTGTATCAAATGTAAATAGTTAAACTGGTAATATACAATAATAATAAGAATATTTGTAAATACATGATTTTGCCATCAAAAGCAAATTTTCATTGTTGGTATTTTATCGAAGAGGATTGTTCAGATGTTTGAGGCGTCACTCAAGCAAAAAAAAAATAGTCGCATCAAAGTTACTGCTGTGCATGAAATATTTCTTTTCCACAAAAACCTGCAATTTTTGAGTCCAACATTAAGTGATTTGGGTGAAACTAACCCATATTCTACTGCTGATTTAAAAAAAATGGGAGAAAGTAGAAAGAAACTTTTTTGTGATGTTTGGTAGTGTCTGTGTTTCCATAGCCATAAAACAATATTGTGAGACCCTTGCAAAGATTAGTCAGACTGCTCTAAACTGGCTGGCACTCAAGGTTTTCTTTTTTGAAAATGGCTGGCAGTGAAAGAATTCATGAATAGAATAATTTTGCATACTATTTTTTTAGATACATTTTTCAATGCCAAAAAAGAAATGCAGTCACATTTTTTCCAGAATAAAAAAAAAAATATTTGGCAGCAAAATATTGGGGCCTGAATTACCTGAACCCTCTTCTGGTTGCTGCTAAGTAGGGAAATGACAATTGCTTCAAGACACGCACTGTACGTATAGATCAGTCAAATTACAGACAGCAGTCTTTGCTATCAATGAATTTGTCTCTGTCAACCATGGTTCGAATTGTCAATGAAATTTTTATTTCTGTAACACATGAATTTATTCTGTGATTAACGCAGGCTCACACGCGCGCAGGCTCACACGCGCACCTTTCCTAATTAAAATCTTAATTCCAATAACTGTCGGACTAAGGAGATTTGCCGCAAGCACAATATATGAACTGCCAAGCCGGGGAGTAAAAGGGAGATGTTTGTTTCCTTTGCGCGGGCATAAACAGCAATGCGGCACACACACACACACACACACACACACACACACACACACACACACACACACACACACAGTGGTGGTTTTCCTGCATGTGTAAGATCAGAAGAATGTAGGCGCTCCCTGTCTCTTACCTAAGGCAACTTCGAACTAAAAAACACAAAAGCACAACCCGACAGTTTCCACATGTACAAACGTTAACGTTGCAGCTAATGTTCGCCTGCTCTGCACCTGTGTGCACTAAATTTTAAAAAGAAACAGCACTGGATTGGGCGAATGTGTTTTCAAAGGGATTGAGGTGACATTGCAGCCCTTGGGAATGACTCACACGTTTGTAAATATTAAACACTCACACCTCAAACATGTGGAGTCAATGCTAATTTATTATCCTTATGGAGCACTCTCTCCCTTGCATACGCAGTCGCCTGCAGCAGGGCCAGACGGCCACCTTGCATCATGTTCTAGAAATGGCCCCAGCTTTACCTACACTGGTCTGTATCGCGTGACGTGCATCATACCTCCTCTCCCGGCCTATCAGAGCCAAAGGAGACATGAACGCACATGCACAGACATTACTTGACGTACCATAAACACGCTTGTGTTTATCAGTCGACATCCCCCCCACCCTCTGCTCCCCTCACTCTTTCCCTCTCCTTTAGCCCATTGGTGATCATGGCAATTTGTCTTTGAAACCTAGTCCTGTCCCACATGTAAACTATCTATTTTGTACATGTGTACAACGCAAGAGGTGCATGGACACACACACGAGATCACTTCCTGTATCGCTTTCCATTCCCGAACATTCTGGAAGGATAGCGAGGAGCCAACGTAAATGCGGGCTGGGACAGTTGAAGTTCAACTATAAACACGGACGCGGCCATTACGCTTTGAACGCTAGCCTCTCCGTCAGACACAGAGGCGGACGAGAGAAAAAAACAAGGCAAGCTATAATCGCTCTCAAAAAATAATAAGCATTCTCTCTGAGTGTCCTACAATAGACGCCATTCTCTGTGTTTATGGTAGGAGAGGAAAGACTGACTGGCCGATTGGCCAGCCGGAGCTCTGGCAGGCCGACGGGCAGCAGCGCGGAGAAAAGCCGCAGTTCTTTTTTTGAATAAAGGCCGAAAAGAAAATACCAACAAACATGTGTACTATACTGTTTATCCCTATCCATGCACCCTCTCCTTCCCAATGTACTTTTCTCCCATAATGCCTACCTTGGACTGCGCAGTTCCCTGACTCAACAATAACGCCTGAGTCATTCCGGACTTTAAGAAGATCGCCAGCCTCTAATTACGAATCATTTCTTCTGACACACATGCTCCAGTCAAAGAATGCTAATCAGAGGGCATTGCCTGTCCCTCTTTTTTTGGCTGTGGATATCAGGGAGACCCCCGCCCTCTCGCTCTCACTCACCAAATGAAGCTGATAGCACACATATCAACGACTGACATACGTGTCTCATTGGACTCCTTCGGCAACCAATAACACAAATGAGGACAGTCAATATGGGGATTTAACATTTCCCACTGTTACAAACTTTGGCCTGGGACCTAAAGTAGTGGCGGGATGTCAAGTGTCAAGAGTAAAATACGGTTGATGATCAAACAGGCACTTCACTTGTGGACTTTCTGATTCACATTCTACGTAAAGAGGTCAGATTTGCAGTATATGGAGGATTTTAGCAAGTGGTAGTCCCGAGGGGAAAAGCAGGTTTCAAATTCATGCCTCGTGGTGAACAGGTTTATGAGACCCAACTCGAGCTTATATAAACTTCAATTGAAGGGCTGAGGAGAATAAAGCAGATATTTGGCCTTTCAAATGCACTTACTTCTCTGGCAGTGGTTCTGGGACCAGCATCTTCCCCTGAAGTGCCCGTTGATGGTGTTCTGGGGGCAGACGGTCTGACCTTGGGCCGTGCCGGGACACACGTCTCCGCACTCCCGGTCATTCTTGTTCTCCACAATGTAGTTGTCTTCCACCGAGTCCAGGATCTTGGACCAGTCCAGAGTGGCCAGGTAGCAAAGATCTGGGTTCTTCTCAATCCTCACAGCCCCCCTGGTGATGTTCATGAGGCTGTGAAGGCCCACCTCCTTCAGTTGCAGCATCTCGTAAATGACAAGGGCATAGTTGAAGAAGAGGTTGTTGCCGCGAATCACGGTCAGGTTCGGAAAGAGATCGGTGAGGGAATCGAGGCCGTAGACGCGGAAGAGCAGCATGTAGTCGGTCACCACTTGCAGCTTGGGGAAGCTGAGGCCCCGAAAGTCCTCGGTTTTGGTCTTGAACATGAGCAGGATCTTTAGGTGGCCCTCGATGATGGTGCAGTTCTCCAGCGATTGGAGGTTGGTCACATTGTTGCGGATGTCTTTGCTCTGACAAACTGCAAGAACAGACATGACACAAATTAACATTTTCATATTTATTTGCTTTATCCAAGAACTGCTCCAACATTTATTTTGTGCTTTTTTTTGAGAGACCTCATTATATATAACGTTTTCAAAACATAGCTATTAACTTGGCTCTTTCATCTTGCCAAAGATCAAATGTGCTTCAGTCAACTATCCTAATTTAAGAGCAAATATACTGTAGTAAAAAAAAAAAAAAAACCCTGCATATTAAGGAATAGGAATATGAAAGAAATTTCCTTGATCAAACATGAGGAACACGGACGGTGTTGACTACACAAACTAACCGTCAAGACATGCTGTTCTTTTCAAGTATTTTAATGAGATGGGAGTCGTTGCATTGTTTCAATGTCACCGAAGCTAATAGTGCTGCCTATGCGTGTTTTGCCTTCAGCAAGGCTGCAGCTTAGCTTTGCATCGCCCATGTCATTCAAGTTGTTCTCCATGAGACCACAAATTAGTTGGGGGACTGAATCAAAAGTGCATTTGATGGTTGTGGCTAAGTAGCGCATGATATCATACAGTACAACTATTATGCTGACAGTTGAACACTTATTTGTACGCTCTGAACAACACCAATGGAATTCGCTTCACTCCAGCTTGCAAAGTAGAAATCCACCTACGTTTACGAAAGCAAGCAAATGTGAATCTCCGCTGAACACTCTTCTAGCCCCAAATTAAGCCATGAAACCTCAAGTGACGTTGGATTAAATATAGAAAACCCATAAGGTTTTTCCACTCGCTACTCTTTCGCATCCCGTGAACGTTGCATTGGCGCAGATTTTCTCCAAAGAGGAAACTACTGTATGACACAACTCTGATCTGACTGACACAGACATGAGAAGGTTAACCGAGGCATCGCCCGAAAGAGCTAAATGCTTATCCACGCTTATTCATACTCTTGTTCAGCTGTAGTGTACTCGCACCAACACACAAGCCCACATTTGTTTCAGCGAACGCACGAGCACACAGGCACTCGCGTCAGAGGAGAAAATTCATTAGTGGGCAGCAACTTAGGGAGATGCGCGGAAGTGAGTGGTATACAGTATAGCTTCAAACAATTTATTCAACATTGGGGGGAAAAAAAAGCAAAGACAGGAAGTGATTCTCAAGCATGGAGCTGTACAAAGATGAAACAATTAAAATGTAAAGTCATAAGATATTACTGCAGACTTGGTGAAACGGTTCAAGATATCAAACTGCAGTCCTTGAGGACCGGGATGCTGCATTTTTTTAAAAATGTTTCCCTCCTCCAACACACTTGATTCAAATGATCAGCTCACCAACGAGCTCTGCAGGAGCCTGATAACGATCCTGATCATTTGAATGGAGTGTGTTGGAGGGGGGAAGCATCTCAAACATGCAGCGTACCAGCCCTCGAGAACCGGAGTTTGGCACTAATTATAGACACGATGCATTTTATTTTGACTTGTTTGAGATTATCCTCACATGATGACCACCTAGTCAAAATACATTCAGTTCAGACACTGCAGCGAGCTAGCCAGCCAGCTAGCTCGCTAGCTAGCTAGATAGATAAATAAATACTGTAGATAGATGAATGAATAAATAAGGGAGGTTTGCTCATGTGATGAAATTAGTGTGAAAGTGAGGGCATTGTAAAACTACACAGAGAATCTTCCGTCAACATCCGACGACTTCTCCTCCTGCCATTGCATTAAGGGCCACATTAAACATTCATTTGGACTTGAAGATTGTACAATGAAAGAAGTGAAAATTATGTAAGTCGGACGTGACAAGAAAAGTTTACTCTCAATAAGTTTATAGCCTCAAATATGCCATACGTTTGGTTTATAAAAATGGATGAAAATAGAACGTGGAACAGAAAAATCGACGAAGAATAACACGTGGAGTATTTTCTCCCAGCTAAAATGAACACAAAAATTATTTATAAAACTAAATTTCCTGATAGGTGATCAAGGAAAGTCACAATTATCAAACACAATAACCCCACTGCTTGCTTCTTCTACCCTTTTGTATGCACATAAATTAAAACAAAACAATAATAGTTATAATCAAAGTAATGAAATACATAAAAACAGAGTCAAAACTCAACTGCTTGAGACGGCCTAGGTGTGGCTCACATTATTCGTCATGAGGAAGCTACCTATTAACGTCCCAATCTGTTAATAGTTAGCGAAACAAACATGTCAACAGTCCAAGTACAAACTTTGACCAGCAGCGTATAAATGGGACGGTTTAAGAGACTTGTAAATGGATTGTAGCCAGTAAGGCCTGTAATCACTAGACAGTCAAATAAAACCAGGTTGTTTACTACAACAGCATGCTGGCATTCGTCGCGAGTCATTTTAGACTTGCATTTCGTCCGGGTACAGAAAGTTAAAAGGTAGACCTCAAAAAGTCACAGCGTCTTCTGGTAGCTGACAACTGGAAGCAACAAAGTGACCTTTTTTTGTCACCTTATGGAGGAATGGAGGAAATTAATAAAGTGTGCAAAAAAGTACTGTGACTGCTGCCTCACAAGTTGGCCTCTCGTTATGTACTGGACCGCCTTGCCCCTCATCGTTACCAGGGCAGAAATCATTCGGTCATGTTTCAACAGCAAAACATAACTATCACTAAAAATACGGCAATATTTCACAAACAAAACAAGTCAAGTGATTCAAAGTAATGTGAAAGACACTACACCCAACAAAGTGTGGAATGATGAACCACGGTTGAGACCTTAGGAGGCAGAAAAAGCAGCTACATACAAGAACGTGAACCAGGCAGCATTCATGGTAATGACGCAACGAATTCAAAGCAATGTTTCCTGTGTATGGCATTAATTAATTTTGCTTGCAGCAAAGCTGTGTTTAGTCATTTTCTTCATTCTTCTAATTACGAGCGCTGTTAATAAAAGAGTGAAAATATTTTTTTGCAGGTGTATCATCTTACCAAGACTTATATTGCATATAATTGACTGCTAAAAATTCAGTTTTACTTTTGTATTTAGGCACAATTCAAGATTCATATTTTTGTACTTTTAGTTAATTAAAGGAGTTGTGAATAAGTACCAGAGTATTTTTTTATACAGGTATTTGAGCTGCTACTTAAGTACAGAGTGCGAGTACTTTTGCTACCTCGGCCCATCAGATATTAATAGTTCCAAACACTTGTGAGCCGAAGCCACGCTCCCCTTTGGTCAGGCGCTTCCTGTAACAAGGAACCAAAAGACGCAGAAAAACAAACCACTTCTTTGCAGCAGTTGGTGTTATTCCCAACGATAACGTCAACATTACACCTCGTGCACCTCCTGCCTTATCACCTGGACACATCAAACAGGCCTTCGGGCCAAGAGCTCACCGTCAGCCTGCGGCAACTAATTGGATACCCGTTGTGCAACACAACAACAAACTGGATTGCACAACATCTGCATGAGCAGAGTGTAACACACGGTCTGCCTGTGTGTTACGCAGATCGTTCCCACTTTCATGTATTTTATGTCTCAATGCAGGTAAGAAATACATGACCGATCTTGTTGGAGCTGACAAGGAATATTTTTGGGCCGTTATACTGCAAGGGAGTGCCACAAAATGCTTGTCTTGCGTTTGATTAACAAGAGAAAGCATTCACATATTTATCACCATATTTGAATTAATTTAGAAACTCAAAGATGGTGGAACTCTTCTTACTAAACAAGTTCCACCTGGACACTGTTATTAGTGAATTACAACTGCCTTAAGTGAAAGCCATCATCAAGAGCTTACATTTAAACCAACAAACATGAAAATAAAAAAAAAAAAGAATAAACTGCCAAGTGGAGAAGTGAACTGTCAGATCCAGCAGATGGAGCTGCAGTGAATGAACGTGAGAGGGCAGTTGGTGCCCTTCGTAATTTGCATGACCGCCACCTATGGGATTGGAATGAAAGCTATCCACCTAGCATGTCAACTTTACATTCAAATAGATGACGTCAGTAACTCAATCTCACTTATAGTCCACATGGACGTACGATTCGCACGTTCATTGTTTCAGCACTGTTAGTGCGCCTTTTCCAGATATTCTTTGTGTATTTTTTGAGGAATATTCCTTTTCATGAATATAGGTACAGTATTTATGCAGTATTGAAGGCACCCAAGTGGTGCCAGCTGCTGTTGGTCCAATTCCAAGAAGTAGTTTAAAGAAGTCAATAAATGCATGCGAGACGTTTTGGAACATGATTTTTTTTTTTTGCTTTCCACAGGAGTAGGAAAGACATCGAGTGATGGGGGAGAAGGGTGGCAGGCAAAAGAGAAGATGAGGTGAATAGAGGAGAGGGACTGGAGAGCCAGAGAAGGGACAGGAGTGAGCGGGGTGAAAGTGTAACTTGAGCCCGGGCAGGAACGCAGCATGACGTAAGTGACCTACAGGACGGTTGGTGATCGCATGCATGAATGGAGGACCGTGGTGGATCACTGTTACATGACCGCCAATGTGAGCACAGACAAATGGCCACACAGGGGGCAGCAGGGGAGGGGGGGGGCTTTGCTGCTGACTACCGGACGGACAGAAATGGCAAAAATGAATAAGCATCTCAAATGTAAAACAGTCCTTAGCATTTATCACACTCCATGTCAATGCTGCCATTTTTCAGCAATTGAATAAATATGTAAATACTGCAGCAAATACAAGCATGAACTCCTGATGTGATTCCCAAATGAACTTTCATAACCCTGCTACGTGCAGGTGGAGATGAATGCAGTGGTGGGTGGGCGTTTGGTTTGCTGGACAGTGACCGTGACCCCTCCATTGCCCACCCTCCCACTGAGCGTGCCCTCACTGGCCACACAAGAACTCTTAATTACAATAACAACCCAATCAGCCTCTAATGAGCCTTGGGCAAGGGTGGGGGGTATACAGAAAGGGGGCTTGTTTTGCCATTAGAGAATGGAATAACAGAACAGAGGAGCCCAGACTGGAACATACTGTCCCACACTGCGGACCTCCAGTAGAGATATGTGGACTAACTAACCACCCTCGCTTTCTCTCTAAACGATGAAAGGTAA